CTATGAGGACAGGAGAGGAGGAGGGAGTAGCATTAATTGGAGCAAGGGAATTGGCTATTTAATCTGCTCTGCAGTTGCTAGGATTTCCACAGCCCCAACGGCAATGATGGGGGATTTTTTTTTTTTAAAAAAGAGAGATAGACACACATATAAGAGTACTCCATCTACAAATAAGGTTCTCAAGACAGGAGTCCAGGTCCAGCCCGGTCACGTGCCTGCATGACAGCACCTGAGCCCAGCAGATGCTCAATCCAAATGAAACCCTGCGCTCTGGATGGAGCCAAGGAAGATTCCCGCTATTCACGGGTCCTCGGGGAGCTATTACAACCTCCCTTCCTCATTTGAGGAAATAACCCGAGCCAAGGAGAAAATTGAAGTCCTCCCGGCTGCAGCTGCTCACCCACCGCCCCCCCCCCTCCACCGAGAAAAGCACCCACACCACTGACTCGGAGGGGTCACGGGAAGGCTGGGGGGCGGGGGAGAGGGTCACAGTCGAGCCGCCTAACCCAGCCGCCTTCTCCCATCGCTACCCAAGTGCGCGCGGACCCCCCCCCCCCACCCCTCTCTCACCCCATGCCATCATCCGGGTACGGCTCGTAGTCTTCCACCCGCAGGTTATACTTCTTGGCGGCGGCGGCCCGCTCTTCTGGGGTCCTGGGATAGGGCCCCGGGAGCATGTCCTTGGTGATGTGGGAGGCTAGAGGGCAGGCGAGGGCAGGTCAGAGGGCATCCCGTTCCGCCTGCCTCCCCGACGATTTCAAGCGGCAGCGGAGGCCGGAGCCCGAGTCTTCCAGGGACCAGCGAGACCCTCCACCCGCTCTTCTGGATACGCGAGCTCCACCTCCGCCCCCAGCCCCGACACGGCCGCCGCGGTACCCACGATACCCACCTCCCCCCCAACACACCAACCCTCAGGCATCCCCTTCCCACACGGAGACCTCGCCCTTTCTCGCGGACCTGTCCGTGCACCCAGCGGTACCACGGTCCGGCCTGCCCTTTGCAGCCATCGGACTCCCAGAACCCCCGCCCTGGCCGCCGCCATCTTGACCTTCTTGAGGTTTCACTCCGCACATGCGCAGAGGCCTGTCACGGCGGCTGAGCTGGGCCAAAAGGCGTGGAGGCGGCAGGTCGCGAAGACACGTCCTAAGGGTTCAACAAAGGTGGGGCGTGGAGGGTGTTGAGAAGCAGAGGCAGGACGTGCAGAGGGACAGAGGCTGAGAGGGAACGCCGGAAGGGGAGAAAACCAAGCAGGTCATTGCTTCGATATTTCAGATTGCTGTGTCTCTTTTTCTCCCCAAGTTACCTTAGACGCATCCAAGGATGATGAGGACTCAGGACCTGAGCATCTCATGTGGACAGCTGACCCCCTCTAGCAAGAGCAGCACAAGTGAAGTGAGCCCGCGTTAACCTCTGACGGCTTGCCTTTTCCTCTCCTTTACTGGCACTTGCTCCATCCATCCCCAAACGTGATCATTCTTCAAATTCAGCCCTTGGTCCTACTTGTTTTTGTTGTTTTCCAAATTGGTGGGTATCTTTCAGCTGATGTGCGGTGCAACAGATAAATCGGCCTCGAATTGGTTCCTCATTTTCAGTCCGTGTTAACTTAGGAATGTCCCAGTCACCTCTACCCAACAAATGTAAAACCAATGCTATCACCAGAGGCAGCTTTTAGGAGCCCGAATAAAGGCTCAGATTTGCCAGGATTTAGATAATTACAATACTAACACAATTAACAAGCATTAGAAGAATGGGGAGGGGAGGCATTATTATATTTGCATATGAATTTGTTTTCATTTTATTTAAACAAGTGGAATTTGCATAGTTTACACCAAGCATGTCAAACTCAAAGGCTAACACAGGCCAACTAAACAAGGTTTAAGTTTATGTGGGCCGCAAAAAAACAAAAGCTTCAATTTTCATAGAAACGTAGGTTTATTTTGATAGAGACATGCTGAATACAAAGGGCTGAAATAAATGAGTAATCATTAACATAAAATAATAAATCATTTTAATAAAAATTCATGTTTTTTCTTGAACATTAACTTACCAGACACTGAATAACTGCACCAATTAATAAACGTAACGCAAATAAATCTATTTTTCTTGTTCTCCAAAAGCGAAATATTTCCTGTTGTGCACACTAAACAGGTCAGTCCAAGACTAATGACGTGGCAATTGTCTGCTAAAACATTCTCTGCTAGTATTAGTGGAGAGAAATGGTGCGCCTGCACATAAGGCTCATAAGGGAAATGAATGCAACACAATTATAGTAATCAGTCATTAGTGAACCTTGTAGTTCATTATTAAAAATTACGTAAACACGGATATTGTAAAAAGTAAGTTACAAAATTTTTATGGCCCTCGGGCCGTGAGTTTGACATGCTTGGTTTACACAGTGTAAATATGCACATATTTTCAGAAACTTTTAGGGTGATCACTGTTTTGGAGCAGAATTCATTATTATAGACATTCTCATATATCAGAGCAATAAAAACTGATATATACTATTTGGTATATAAATTTTGGAAAGGACTACATCACAGCAACTTGCCCTTCCTATATAATAAAGCCTAATATGCAAAATTGACTGAACAGCGGAATAATGCGCACTGACCACCAGGGGGCAGATGCTCAACAAAGGAGCTGCCCCCAGCCCCCAGGCCCCAGGCCAGCCAAGACGGGTGCCAGTAGGGGGGTGTGAGGGGGGTGGACACCCTGCCAGTCACCCCACAGATTGGCCCTGATCAGCTGCCAGGCCTAGGGACCCTACCTGTGCACAAATTTCATGCAACGGGCCTCTAGTCCTATATAATAAAACCCTAATATGCAAATTGACTGAACAGCAGAACAGCCTGTTACTATGACACACACTGACCACCACAGGAGCTCAGCCAGAAGCCGAGCTCATGGCTGGTGAGCACATTAGCAGTAGCGGGAGCCTCTCCCACCTCTGCGACAGCGCTAAGGACCCCTTGGGGGACGTCTGCTAAGGGGTTCCGAACTGTGAAAGGGCTCAGGCCCTGCTGAGGGGAACCCCTCCTCCCCCTAGTGCATGAATGTCATGCACTGGGCCTCTAGTTAGTAAATAAGCATCAATAGTTGATGTTCAGGATAATTGGACACCATCTGTAGTCAATTGATCCAATTTGGGTCAAAAAACAGAGTTGGTCTAATTTATTTTTAAGATATAATTTACATACCATAAATTCCCCCTTTTAAAGTATATAATAGTTAATTTTTAGTATATTTACAAAGTGTGCATTATCACCACTAACTCTAAAAAATTTATCGCCCAAAGGAAACCCATACCATTAGCACATCCTGCCCCCCCCCCCCCGCCCCCATCCTCCCCTCTCCACAACTACTAATCTATTCTCTGCCTCTGTGGATTTGCCTATTCTGGACATTTTATATAAATGGAATCATAATATGTGGCCTTTTGTGTCACATTTCATTTATAACGTTTTCCAGGTTTGTCCATGTTGTAGCATGTGTCAGTTCTTCATTCATTTTTATGGCTAAATAATACTTCATTATATGGATATATAACATTTTGTTTATACATTCATCAGTTGATGGGTATTTGCATTATTTCTACTTTTGACTATTATGAATAATGTTTCTGTTAACATTCTTGTATAAGTTTTTGTGTGGTTGTATGTTTTCAGTTCTCTTGTAGTATTAGTAAAATGCCTGGGTCATAGGGTAACTCTATGTTTAACTTTCTGCAGAACTACAAAACTATTTTTCAAAAAAGCACCATTTTATATGTCTGCTAGCAATATATGAGGGTTCCCATTTCTCTACATTTTCAACACTTGTCACTGTCTGTCTTTTTTATTATCACTATCCTAGTGGATATGAAGTGTATCTCATTGTAGTGTGTATTTTTTTATTCCTTTCCCAAGGGTTTGTTTTATTGATTTTTAGAGAGGGAAAGAGAGAAACATTGATTCGTTGCTTCCTGGACGTGCCTTTCTCAGCTCCTAGAATCTATCTGTCATTCTCTGCCACATATAGTTTGTTTCTTAAAGGCCAACAGGACATCATCTGTGCCTTCAAATCTCTCTAACTTCTGTCTCTGCCTTCTAGACTCAGATTTAAAGAGCTAGAGTGATTAGGTCAGGCCAACTCAGGGTAAATCTCCCCTTTGCTGAATTCAAAGTGAACTGATTAGGGACATTAATTATATTTTTGCTATATAACCTCATTGCCAGAGTGATAGCCTATCATAGTCATAAGTCCTGTTCTTCTTCAAGGGGAGAGACTTATTATATAGGGCATGTAACCCATGGGATGGAAATCTTTGGATCTATCTTAGAATTTGACCTCCAACAGCCAGCCATAAGAACTAAGTAAGCAATAGATGTCATTGATAGGGCCTTTAATAATCAATATAAATTGTTTGAATATGTGGGATGCTCATGCTTGACTATAACATTGGTCCCATAGCAAAAATATCTTCAAGTAGAGGAGATGGTGATACAAGTAGAAAAATCAAATGATGCCTAACAAACAAACAAACAAGCAACCCCGTCTTTGCTTTTAAAAGAATTCAACTTGCCATATATCTTTTGCAAAGGCCTTCAAAGCAACCTTTGCCCACATCCTGCAACACCCTCCCCCGCCCCCCCCCATCCTCCCCTCTCCACAGCATCTATCAATCTGACAACTGCTTTTCCTTCTGACTCCCTTAGGTAGGTCAATCATTTGCTTCTCTCCTCGCTAAACTTGCCTCCTTCTTTGCCTGTTGTGTAGGCCTGGGCACACTGAGGCAGCAATACTATTTTGTGAATTGGTTAACCGGGTTAGCAACTCTCATCAGTGGGACTCACGTCTAGCCCAGGTCTTCAGGGGCGGAGCCTAGGGTGTAGCGCTGTTGGTCACCAATAGGAGGCGCTCCCCCACGTCTTGGCTCCGCGTTTTTGTTTTTGTTTTTGTGCTTCTGGGCCGCTCTTTCTCGCAGCCCGTCTCTATGGTTTCCGTTGTGTTTTCTCCGGAATAGGCGGGGCTTCCGGTTCCGGCGGGGCCGTCCCTAGCGGCGGAAATGGCGGCTACGGCGGCGGAGGCCGCGGCCTCAGGCTCTGGAGGACCCCGGGAAGAGGCTGAGGCCCCCGGCCCCGCCTGGAATGAGTCCCAGCTGCGAAGTTACAGCTTCCCGACGCGGCCCATCCCGCGTCTGAGCCAGAGCGACCCCCGGGCGGAGGAGTTCATCGAGAATGAGGTAGGGGGCGGGGCCGTGTCCCCTGCGGGAGCGGGGGAGGGAGCAGGTCGGGAGGAGAGGTCAAAGGCGAGCGACGATGGAGGTGGGACCTGGCTGGGCGGTGGACTGGGGCCTGAGGGGCGCTGGAGAGGGAGGCCGGGAGAAACGGGACTTGCGGGGTTCGTGTTGGCGAGCAGACGGGGTTACTCGGAAGTTGGGAAGTAGCTGGAATGACGGAACCAGAGCCCACCGGTCCTCGGGGTGACTTCCTTTGTGCTGCTTCACCTGATGTTTCCCCTTAGGAGCCTGTGGTGCTGACCGACACGAATCTCGTGTATCCTGCCCTGAAATGGGACCTGGACTACTTGCAAGAGAACATTGGCCACGGAGACTTCTCTGTGTACAGCGCCAGCACCCACAAGTTCCTGTACTACGACGAGAAGAAGATGGCCAATTTCCAGAACTTTAAGCCCAGGTCCAACAGGGAGGAGATGAAGTTCCATGAGTTTGTGGAGAAACTGCAGGATATCCAGCAGCGAGGAGGAGGAGAGAGGTACGGTCCCGGTGGTGGGTTTCTGTCGGCTCGGAGGCAGGCCTTTTCTTTGCCGGCACTCGTGTGAGGAGACGGAGGAGCTGGGCGCGTTCTCAGAGTGGAGGGATGAGAGGGTGACGACCCGTGCACTGTGGTTCTCTAGTTCTTTGTCAGCTTCATAAAGTGAGGGTCACCGTTGCCTACCAGGGTCCGGTAGGTGAACAAAAATGAAGTCGTTTGGGTAAAAACTACCGTGAGGCGAAATGTATACACCCCGTTCCAAGTCAGAAGTCGCGACTTGACTTGTATCCATTTGGGAGTTCCGTTTCAGGACTGCCAGATATTCAGGTTTTTCAAGAGAAGCCAGAAATCGAGGATTTTTACTTAAGATCTTTTTACTTAAATGTGCACAGCTAATTCACATTTTTAAAGATGCTGCAAGGAGCCGAACGGAAATGTCTGTTGTTGGATTTGGCCTTGAGATGACCCGTTTGCAGGCTAGTGGCTGGGGATAGTTAAGGCCGAAGAGTTACGTAAATGTTGAGATTCTGGGGTGAAGGATATTAGGGTCCTCTAGCTTAGGGGAGAGCAGATTAGGTTTGGGGAGGGGCGTATATTGATGTTCCAGGTGGTACTGGCAATAGCAAAGGCAACACACACACACAGAAGTGTTTCTTTCTTTCTGCTTTCATGCCTGTGTAGGAGGACAGCCTCTTAGGTAGGTCCCAGACAGCATTGCGTCTGGGGAATTGCTTTCACTAAGTTCATGGCGAACGACCCTCTGCATCTCACCTTGGTGCCCCGTCTTAACCTTCCTGCCTCAGTTCTCTTTCTTACTCCCTGTTAGCAGTATGTGGCTGAGTGAATGAATTTGAAATATCTTTTTTCCATCTTCCTGACACTTAGCAGTTACACAATGAGAGGACTTTGACTAAAAGAGTTTCCAGAGTCTGAACTATGATTGATCTGTTATTTTTGTTTTATAAAGCCTGATTGAGTTGAGTTGTCTCATGCATTAATTTCCTCAAAATTAACAGCATGTACGTGTGCGCGCATACGCATAGACACATCCAACGTTCAGATTGAGAGCTATTTAAATAGCGCTGGTGGAGTGTAATTCCATTTAATGAACATATGTACTAGAATAAGCATGAGATAAAACACAAGAATCCCCTGGTTCCTCATTCACTTTAAGTTTCTTATCCTATAGTGAGAGCATTTCCCCCTCACTAAGTATGAGCTATGAGTGTAGTCTCTTCTTTATGGGTGACTCAAGGAAAAATTTTCCTATGAGCAAGTTTTACCCTACCTGCTGACTTGAGCATCAGCCAACTCCACTGCATAATTGTACAGGTTGTTGTGATTCTGGGATGAAGGCTATTAACATCCTCTTGAGCTCTTTTGGTATTTACTGTTTAGGTATAATGGAAAATGTTTAGATTCATGTTTCACGAATGGTCCTGCCTCTTTTAAAGTTACTTGTAAAATTTTTGTATGTGTATGTATATTATAATCTCTGGGAAGAGTCCAAAGGTTGCATTTGAGTCATGTCCCCAAAAAGGTAGCTAATGTTTCTAGCTTATTGCAATTTCTAGTTAAAGTGGCCTTAAACATCATGCTTCTAGGCACTGATAGCTTTGAGCCTTTTGAAGTAACATTCTCAGGACCAGGAAAGGACTGCTTCTGTATCTTACCTTCCAGCTTGTCCCCTGATTAATGTGTCTTGTGGGCTTGATTACGTGTGTCTGGGTTTTCATATACCTTAAGTAACTTCTGATCTTCCTTAGGGGTGTTAGGAGCCTTGGGCCTGATGAGGCATCTTCCTTCAGATGTAGAAAGCTGCTACAGAGAGGTGGCTGAATCAATTAAGATAAACTAGGCTTCACGCCAGAGCTCCGCAACTTTATTTCTCACTCACACTACATGTTCATCACAGGTCACCCGGAGTAGGCTGTGCTCTTTTTTGAGAAATATGAAACGCTTCACAAATCTGTGTGTCATCCTTGTGCAGGGGCATGCTAATCTTCTCTGTATCGTTCCAGTTTTAGTGTACGTGCTGCCTAAGTGAACAGAGGAGGAAGCTCTGCTCTTACATCATCATTTTCGCTTCAGGGCCCGGATTGGCCCAGTAGCTTCTATCTGAAACTTTGCAGTTGCTGTGGCAGAGAGAAAAGATGTGGTGGTAGTGTGTGCTGGTTCTTACAATTACAGTTTGGAAGCAACACAAGTCACTTCTGTGGACATTTCCTTGGCCAAAGCAAATTAAATGATCAAAGCAAGTTAAATGGCTTCAAAGGGGTACAGAAGAATAACGCTCCCGCAGGGAAGGAACCGGCTCTTGGTGAACAGCTATATGATTTGTTACAATGGCCATTGAGGGCCAAAGGGGATGCCTTGGGCCCTGAGAATCTCTGGAACAAGGGTGATTCATCATTGTAGGCTCTGTGGATAGACTTTGAGGAATCTATGAAAGAAATTGTATGAAAGTTCTGTGTATGTGCATTTTTCTGGGGAACCTTCCTTGGATTCTTAAAGGATTTATGCTGTGACCCAGAAAAACTTAATCACTTCTTTAAAGTAAGAAGTTTGGTATCCGAAGAAGGATAGTTAAGGATTCAGTTCTGTGAGAATCCATGTTGGTTAAGATTCACATGATAGTGGTTGTTCTCTGTGGGTGATGATATTGTGGGTTTAGCTTAGATTTCCAGATGTGGGGAGGCCATGCCAAGGGACTGTGTGTACATGCACTAATGGGATCTTCTTCTTGGGGAACATAGGTTGTATCTGCAGCAAACACTCAATGACACTGTGGGCAGGAAGATTGTCATGGACTTCTTGGGTTTTAACTGGAACTGGATTAATAAGCAACAGGGAAAGCGTGGCTGGGGGCAGCTGACCTCCAATCTGCTGCTCATCGGCATGGAAGGTAAGAAATCTTTCAGAAAGCAGCATAGCTTGGAGTCATTCAAACCCGGTTCCTAATCCTGTGTCCACTATTTATTCCCTCCTTGACTTTGAACAAGTCACTTAACTTCTCAAGCCTCAGCCACCTCATCTGCAAAAGGACCATGATAGTATTTTATAAGTAGCTGTGAAGGTGAAATAAGATAATTTATGTTGTTTTTAAGATAGTTTCATGCACTCTAAAAAGTTTTCCCTTCCTTAGTTATTGTGTGAATGTGTATACTCAGATATTAGGGATCTCTGCAGTATTGCTTTTCTCTATTGGATCTGTTTGTATTCAAAAGATTTTTATCCCAGTAGAAGAGGGAATGTATTTTTCCAATATAAGCTGAACCTTAACTTCTGAACAAATAATACATTCATGGGGTTAAATTCAAAAGGTATAAATAGATATGTAGTGATAAATCTCTCTTCCACACCCAGTTTCTCTCCCTGGAAGCACCACATGTTATTAGTTGACTGTGTATCCTGCTAGAGAATTTTATGTACACACAAGCAAATATGTGAATATGTTCTTTCATGTGTTTGTTTTTTTTCTTTTGAATAAAATGAGAAGCCTTTAAATTCCAGTCAGAACAAGGAGAGCTACTTATCTCATTCTTATTATTTCCAGCACTAGCTGGGTGACAGGCTCATACTAAGTAAATGGTGAATAAATTGGGTTGAACAAGGAAGCAGAGTAATTATTCATTCTTGTTCACTGCTGGACTCAGATCTCTCCGCCCTTTGATTATCCTTTCTTCAGATTTAGGCGCAGTTTATGGATTGACTTTTTTTTTTTTTTTTTTTTTTTTTTTAAATATATTTTATTGATTTTTTACAGAGAGGAAGGGAGAGAGATAGAGAGTCAGAAACATCGATGAGAGAGAAACACCGATCAGCCGCCTCCTGCACATCCCCCACTGGGGATGTGCCCGCAACACAGGTACATGCCCTTGACCGGAATCGAACCTAGGACCCTTCAGTCCGCAGGCCGACGCTCCATCACCTGAGCCAAACCGGTTCCGGCTATGGATTGACTTTTAACCTGTCCCTTGGAAACCAACTCTTGGTTGACCTGTCAGGAGCCAGTTCTAGTTTACTTGACTCTGCATTTTTTTTTCTTTTAAATATATTTTTATTAATTTCAGGGAGAGGAGAAAAAGATAGAACATTAGTGATGATAGAGAATCATTGATCGGCTGCCTCCTGCACACCCTGCACTGGGGATTGAGCCCACAACCTGGGCATGTGTGCCCTGACCAGGAATCGAACTGAGATCTCCTGGTTCATGGGTCGACGCTCAACCACTGAGCCACATCAGCTGGTTTTTTTGACTCTGCATTTTTCTGTTGCCTTGTCCTCTGGTAGGGTGTAGGCAAGTGGATTTGTCGGGTAGAGTTGAGAGAGCAGACCCCCTTTGCGGATGCCAGGGACTCTCAGCATTTACGAAGGCAGCTGTCTTGACCCACCCAGGTAGACCTGGAGAATGTCTTCTACACTCCATGCCCTGCAGGGGCCCTTAAGTTTTTAAGGATTGTGCGAAGGATAAACAACATACGTGGCCCCAGTTATAATGAGTAGATAGAGCACATACTAGGGCAGAACTAATTCAAGGTGGCATTTAAAATAATTTGCTTTATTCAAGTTGAATAGCTCTCTTTTAGGAATCTGATTCGTACCCCTATGAGAATCAACATCCCCAGTGTTGCTCTAAGAAGTGTTGCACCTCACAGGTGTGTTGACGTGGGAGGAAAGGTTGAGAATCTTTGCCCTCCAAAAGGGCTACTCAGGCACACTCTCCCGGGAACATGTTCGGGCCTTTCCGTTCCCCTCTCTTCTTCCCCCACAGGTGTGTATCTCCTAAACTCTAAGGGTTCCCATGAGACTGCAGCCAGGGGAGCAGTGGGCGGCTGCAGCTCGTCCTGGGCTAACCCCCAGAACCTGTCTCCTTCTCTCTGACTCTCCAGTGAGCTGACAGCAGCTATGCCTCGGCTCATTTCTTTCCCATAAGGTTTCTAGAGAGCCAAAGCATCCCTGCCTAGTCTCTCTCCTGTCGCTTCTCTCGTAGAGACAGTTTGTTTCACTGTCCCCAGCTTTAATAAACGTATTCTCAAAATAAAGAATAAAAAACGAGCTACCCAAAGCAAGTACGTATTCATGCAACTTAAAATGACTAGTTAACTCCATCAAAGAAGATCATGCAGAGCAAAGAAGGGCATTGTTGATACCAGTCATTTCATTTGTTTCTAACTCTTGTTTTACTGCCCTTGAATTCTTGCCATGGTCAAGAAGCGTATAAGTATATATAATATATTACTTTGTTAGACTTGTGAGTATGATTTTAATGCGCTATTGCTTCCAGTAAGGGCAACAGCCATCATTTAAGAAAGTCTACTTTGCTAATTAATGTTGAATCCTTATTGCTGGACTTATTACTGATTAAAAGTGTAACACCACCCTGGCTGGTGTGGTTCAGTTGTTTGAGCATGGTCCCATGCACCAAAAAGTTACTGGTTTGATTCCCGGTGGTTTGATTCTCCGTGGTTTGATTCTCGGTTAGGACTGATGCCAGGATTGCCTGCTCCATCCCCGGTAGGTGGCGTGCAGGAGGCAGCCGATTGATGTTTTGTTCTCACATCTGTTTTTCTTTCACTCTCCTTATCCCTTCCTCTTCAAAAATCAATAAAAAAATATTTTTAAAAAATACCTCCTCAAATATATATATATATTTTAAAAAGTGTAACACCTAATTCGCTGAGATTTTAATTGCCATCTCCCTGATTCTGCCTGATTTTTTTATTAGGAAGCCTTAGCTGAGTGGGCAGGCTGGTTTCTCTCCAGCACGGGGCCCTGTGTTCCAGCCTGTGCAATAGAGGCACTGCTCTGAATAAGAAAATGTCTTTCTTCTTCCAGGAAATGTGACACCTGCTCACTATGATGAACAGCAGAACTTCTTTGCTCAGATAAAGGGCTACAAGCGATGCATTTTATTCCCCCCGGATCAGTTTGAGTGCCTCTACCCATATCCTGTTCATCATCCGTGTGACCGACAGAGCCAGGTGAGCTCCTGATCTGAGGAAGGTACAGAACTCCTTGGGGATCCAAGGTTGGCATGACTTTCCCCTTCCTTGTGGTGGTATGCTAGGTTTGGACAAACTCAGAGGATAATTTCACAGTGTAGCTCATACAGGGTGGGGCAAAGTAGGTTTACAGTTGTTCATATGGAAAATAATACAGTAATTAATTAATAATACAAGAATAAACTGTTTCACATACAACTCTAAACCTCCTTTTGTCCCACCCTGTATATTTCAGGCCTCTGTGGAAGTCCCCACATGTTTATAAATATAAACAGCCCTGTAGAGCTAATTCTGGAGGGCAGACCCTACGGTTGATGCTGATGGAGTCAGGTCACCACCCTGTTTGATTGGATTAATAGTTCATGGAACAAAATGTGTTTATGTCTCTATTGGATTTAATAACTGTTTTCTTTTGTCATGGATGCTCTCACTTTTTGATAAAAAGGAGGACGAATAGAATTGAGATATGTCACTTAATGTCTTTTCTGGATCCAAGTGAGGTATATGGTTTACTTTGTGGCCAAACAAAGAGGTCCTTTTCTTCTTAAATTGAAAGCTGCCTAGTTACTTCATGTAGGAATTTTGACTGGTTAGAAAGTGTGTCTGGGAGAAAGTTCCTGAAGGTTTGAGTGAAGGATGAGTCCTCATTATTCATATCTGCAGGCCATGAGTAGGTTTTCTGACCTGCAAGCTGTGATGTTTGGCTTCTGACCTCAGGAGCCCTGAAGCCGAGGATTCTTTACCACTCAGTATTGAGTGTGGCCTCGCTACATCGTCCTCTGAGAGACTGTGTATTTTTAACATATGTTGTGTTTTCTGCTGGATATAAATTTTAAGTCTCTTTTTTTTTAAGCCATCTTTGTAGACTACCAGAGTAACTTTCACATAGTCCTTAATGATAAAAATTTGGTGATCGACTGATTTTTTTTTTTCTTTCTCTTGAACCTCTCAGGTGGACTTTGACAATCCTGACTACGAGAGGTTCCCCAATTTCCAGAACGTGGTTGGTTACGAAACAGTGGTTGGTCCTGGTGATGTTCTTTACATCCCAATGTACTGGTGAGGAGGGGGCTAGGACTGAGGACTTCTTGGGAGCTTTCTTTTCCATTTTCTGAAAAGCCTTATCTGTGTCCCTTGAGTTGTGACAGGATTGGTCTAATGTGATCTACAGGAAGGTTGGCATATCCAGATGTGAGCATCCTGAACATGGGGGAAATCACAACCCTCTCTCTAGCCCCATGGTGTGTGTGAGAGGAGCATGAAGATCCTGTCCTCTTTATTTCTCTTAGCTGGACTCCTAGTTTCCCGTCCCTCCCTCTGAAAAGTATTGGTGGCAAACAGGAACCTGTTTATTTTCTTGCAGGTGGCATCACATAGAGTCATTACTAAATGGGGGGATTACCATCACTGTGAACTTCTGGTATAAGGTGAATATGGGTTTTTTTCCTAGATGGGGCTGGGGTGAGGTAGGTGTAATACATTATTTGGGGATAGAGTGGGGAGGTTGGCTATTTCTGGAGTGATCCCAGGTCTCTGGGGAGATGAAGAGGAATGGGCTTGAACGGTATTTCTTAGAAGGGAGGATGGTGCCTAGGTATAGTGGGTGACACCGAAGCTTTCTGCTAAAGACATTTCCTGAGCTGCTGCTTCCTTTGCAGGGGGCCCCCACCCCTAAGAGAATTGAATATCCTCTCAAAGCCCATCAGAAAGTGGCCATAATGAGAAACATTGAGAAGATGCTTGGAGAGGCCTTGGGGAACCCACAAGAGGTATGTGGCTGCCCCAAGGTGGCACTCCTGTGGTTTGGTGGCAGTGATCAGGGAAAGTCAGGATTGGTGTCACATTCTCCATAGCTCCTCTGTTTCATATCTGTTATCCTCTCCATAGAGGTTATGGGTATGTTCAGAAAAGCCTTGTTTTCTGCTGAGAGCTGGGCCTGACTGGCGGATCAATTATAATCTGTTCCATGCTAGTAGTAATGTTCCCCGTGGGGCTTGTGTGCCAGCTGGGACCCCTGAGGGGATTCTTCTGGAACAGGAAGTGAGCAGTAAAGCATCTCCTCACACTCTCCAGCTGTGCCAAGGCTCTTCTAGATTGAGACCTGCTTCCCACATAGGTGTGCCAGTGGCTCATCGGGCAAATGGGGGAGGTTTGTATTCGTAACACTCTAGCCTCCATCCTGTGGGTATCCTCAGCATCCAAAGGACCTGTGGGGTTTCGAGATGGCATTACCCTCGATTGCAGGTGATCTTTTCAGTATATAAAGGCATGTAACATTCTTAAGGCACATTTAAGAAACATGCAAACACTCTTGGGTATTTGAGGATTATTAGTCCTCTGACCTTCTGTCTGTTGTTTGGTGCTGCTTACAAATACAGGGTATTGTGAGAGGGAAGATAATACAAGGTGAGCACAAAGAAGATAGCCATGCCCCGGAACACTGGGTTGACCTTCAGGAAGAGAGTTGGTTAGAGGGCATACAAGATTGAATGAAAGCTTTCTCCTTCCCCTTGGCTAGACATTGAATGTCTTTAGACACATACCTGTCCGGCTCCAGGGTCTGGGAACAGGCAGTTCTAACTGGCTCCTCATGTCTTTTTGCAGGTGGGGCCCTTGTTGAACACAATGATCAAGGGCCGATACAACTAGCCTGCCAGGAGTCGAGGCCTCCTGCCAGGTGACTGCTAGCTCATCCACACCGCTTCATTGATGAGGACAGGAGACTCCAAGCACTAGTATTGCACGAAGCACTTAATGGACTGGACTCTTGCCATGGCCCTGGAGGCAGGTGTTTGGGACAAGGCAGGGTGGTTGGCGAGCCACTCCCATTTGGAGGGACTTGGTGCCCTTGCCTCTGTGCCCCAGCACCTTCTCTCCCTGCCCCCCTAAAGTTCTGCATTCAGTGTGTGGAGTTCCAGCTTCTGGTTTTCATCATGTCTGTGTGTGTCAGTCTGTCAACCTTGGGATGTGTGTATGCGTGTGTGTGCATGCACACCCATGTTGTCTCTGTTCCTTGCGCCCTTCTGGATCAGGACCCCACTCTGGCCCAGACCTATCTCCTGCAACCTCCGTGCCTCAGCCTGAGATAGAGGAGATGCTCTTGGATGCCCGCTACATCAGGCTACAGGGCCAGAGCTATCCTGATGTTTAGGTCGGTCGGCTTCCTTCAGGTTTCACAGAATCAGGTTCTAGGGTGGGTGGGAATGGCTACTGGGACTCTACTGGGGAGAGTGAGAAGGAGGCTTGCTTTGAGAGCCGGGAGAGCTTCCTATGAGAGAGAATTAGGTTCCAACTTGGACCTTCATGCTCAAGCCATACATAGAAAAGAGCCTTGGGACACAAGAACCAAGGATTGTGCATAAATTTCAAATTGCAGTTACATACAGCTCCTCTCTTTCAGCACCAGCTCTTACTCCCTGTGCTGAGTACCAAGGGAGTCCTCCTAGCATTGGCTTCTCTAGGTTCTATGGGTGCACACCTCTGTGCAGTGTGTGTGTGTGTGTGTGTGTGTGTGTGTGTGTGTTCACACTGGCCTGCCTCTCTGCTTACCAAGTCTCTCTACTGCTTAACTCTACTGCAGTGGGAACCCCAGGGCAGTACTGCCTGACCTAACCTAAAGATTTTAAACTCAGTTTCAGCCATTGGATGTTGGTCAGGTCTCACTGCAACCTGCCTGAGGCTGACTGGCTAGAGCCTTTTCTGCCTAGGCAGGCGACACGCTCTATGTCTGAAGAGCTTCCTGGCTCAGTAGACAAAATGGGGTCAAGCTTTAGCAGCTAACTCACTACCTGTCATCCACCTCATGACAAGGACAAAAATGTAGCCTTGTCTCTTAAAGCCAGCACCTCTGCCAGACCCCACTAATGTTCCACAAACACCCTCAAAAGTCAGGGCAACTGGTGGAGCACAGAAGTATAATTTCCTTTTCACAGCTACTTAGGAGAACCCCTCAGGGCTGCAGCTTACCACTGGGCAGCTGTGCACTGCACAACTCGAAGGGCCCTCTTCACATGTATTCAGTGGGATTGGGCAGTGTGGTGGCCCTGTGTCTTGTCACCTCCACTTCCATCTCATGTCCCTTCTCTCTGGAAGGAAAGAGGAGGTGGAGTATTTGGGTTTCTGTCTTTTTTTCTTTTTTCCTACCAAAGGTTTACTTCAGTGTCTGAGCTATGGCTCTTACCCCCAAGCTCAGTTTACAGTTACAGTGCACTGATGGACTGAGGATGCGTGTGTTTGTGTGTGCGCATCTGTGTATGTATTTTAAGTACCCGATTCTGGGTTCTCTGATGCACTGTGTGTGCGTGCAAACACGGTACCTTCTCAAGTGTAGTTCTTTCAAATATAGCCAATGCTGGAAAATGTGATCGCAGTGATCTCCATCTCTCCATCTCTTTTTGGGAAAGAGGAGCACACAGAGAAACCAAGGCAAACGGAGGATAAACTTGACCACAACCACACTTTGAAAGAGAGCAGATTGTTTTTGTTCTCCTTAGCAGGTCTGCTGCATTACTGGGTCAGCCTGCAAAGATGTGGGTGGTGTGCAGCAGGGAGGTGTGTGCCACGCAGCTGGTCCTTGCTGGGCGCTGTGCTGACCTAAGGGGAATGGGGGGCAGGGACCTGCACAGGATTGGTTGTGATCCTTGGGTAATATAATACTGACCCCTGATTATTAGACACCTAATGTGTGCCTAGTGCTTTTATCTGTGTTCCTCACTATCCTGCAAGGTAGATGTTCTCATTTTACAGGTGAAGAAATGGGCTTAGAGAGGTTAAGCAATTTGTGGCAATCAGGATTCCAGCCTATGCTGTTTGGCTACAAACCCCTGCTGTTCCTTTGCCACCAATGTTGATTCTTTTACCTCCTCCCTTGTACTACCTCAGATCTCATTCCACTGGACACTGTCTTGTGCTGGCGAGTTTAGCCCAAGAGAGTGCAGAAGATACAGCAGTGGGTGACAACTCTCCTGGGCTCCAGCTAAAGACATCTGGGGGAAACTGCCGGGAAGCCATGTAACACGTTCAGAGTGCTGCAAGGAGCTGCGGGGAGACAAGTTCTAGATCCCATTGTGTTCCTAGTGTGTCCTTGAGTAGGTTCCATGACTTCTCCCAGCTTGCTTCTACATTGATAGAATTGAAGACCTAGTTCTAGGTGCTCACTAAGAACCTTGATTCATGTTCTGCTGTTTCCTTATCCCCCAAGGAAGAGGTTGAGTCTTTTGCCTTTACTTGCCTAGGTTAGGGCCATTTCGGCTCAAATTCTACTTGGGACAGAGGAATCATTTGTGCTGTGTTACCCCTATTGTGGAGGTAGACACCATGGGAAGGTGGGGGGTTGTGTCTGTATGGAGGTCAGCCATGTTGCAGGCTCCTATTTTTACACCAGTAGGTACAGAGGAAACTACTCTCTTGTGAAGTCAGATATTGTTGGGGGGTTGGAGTTTGGGGGATGGAGGAGGGGCTGTTCTGGGCATCAGTTGAGCAGATGCCCAGGATGCCTGGGGGAGACCAGCTTCCCCTACAAATCAGAGCTCTAAATTACAAGGTTTTTACCAACGCGAACAGTTGGGGGACGTCGTCTGCTCTCATTTGCGTAATGGTTTCTGTCACTGGTGATTAGACACAGGATGAAGGAAAAGAAATTTGACAATTAGGAATGAGCCATCATTAATCTGAATCTGTTAGGAGACAGAGAGGGGAAGAATCCTTATCACTGGGCCAGCCAGTGTGGGGAGACCCTCCTGCCCCCCAGAGATACACCCCTTTATTGTTCCCACAAGGAGGCTGAGGTGGTATTTCTTAAGACAGACGAGATGGGCCCAGTCTCCAGCCTGAGATGGACACAGGAACACACGTACAGGCACGAGCCAGCACGGAGAGATGGTTGTCAAGTGCACCGTAGGGCAAAGACTAACAATGGAGTACTTTTGATAGGTGCTATTTGTGAAGAATGTTTTTGTAATCAGCTCTCCAGGTGCCCTACCAGTGGCAAGTAATTATTACATTTCAATCCTGTAGAGCGGAGGAAACCTGGTCTTTATCCTCTAGGACAGCGGTTCTCAACCTGGGGGTCGAATGACTCTTTCACAGGGGTCACCTAAGACCATCGGAAAACACATATATAATTACATATTGTTTTTGTGATTAATCACTATGCTTTAATTATGTTCAATTTGTAACAATGAAATTGGGGGTCACCACAACATGAGGAACTGTATTAAAGGGTCACAGCATTAGGAAGGTTGAGAACCACTGCTCTAGGAGCTTCTGCCTAGTTGGAGAAGAAACCACAGGAAACCACCAGAAGTTATGAGAGCATGGATTGTGCACTCTGTGAGGACAAGATTAGAGGCTGCTGAGGAAGGAGGGAGACCAGCAGAAAGCAGAGCTCTTCCTCCAGGCTTCTCTAAGCACCTGGACTCCCCAGAAAGGGATTCTGGGCCTCCCAGCAACATTGGTTCCCCCCACAGTACAGCTTAGTTACATGGAGGGCACTGAGGCCCCCGCCCAGATGTGTGAGCAGGTAATAAGATTAACGAAAAGGCTCAGTCTTAGGAGTGGAGAGTGCCAGTTTGGATCTTCTTACTTTTCTGACCTGTGATAGTTGTGTTTATTTACCCAAGATTAGTGCATCTGTTCTCTGTGTGCTCTGTCCTCTTGCTGTTTTGTCCATTCTGTACCTTCCGGTTTAGCTTTTCTAACTCTGCTAGTCTTCAGCCAGCTCTGCTTAATCCTCACAGGTCTTGAGATCCTCAGCAGAGTCCTGCTGAAAACTTTTGGTGGATTTCTGGGGGATGAAGCCTCAGACACTGGCAGCCTTGAAGTCCAGGGGCCGCTGGTCAGTGAGGACTCCAGAGATGGGTGAGGGAGGGTGCTTAGAGAGTTGTGAACAGTGGAGAACAAATGAGAGGGTATTGGGCAGGAGAATTCCCAGTAGTGAGGCCTGGCAAGTCAGGGAGGGAGGAAGAACCAGTTTGTTTTTCCATTTAAATGCATCTGTGTGCCTTAGGGTCAAGCATTTCAGGGATGGGGGCATTTCTCAGGTGTGTTTTTTAAAAAATTTGTTTTTGTCGTTTATCCTCACTCAAGGATATTTTTTTCTATTGATTTTTAGATAGAGTAAGTGGGAGGGGGGGATAGAGACAGACAGACATCCATCAGTTTGAGAGAGAGACATTGATTGGTTATCTCCTGCACCCCAAAAGGCTGGGGATCAAAACCTGCAACCCAGGTATGTGCCCATGACTGGGAATTGAACCCATGACCCTTCAGTGCATGGGCCAATGCTCTCACCACCAGCCAGGGCTCTCAGGTGTTTTTGGCGATGCCCCGAGTCACCAAGTTTAGCTTTCTTTTCATTTCAGTGTTTTCTGGGAGGAAACGGCATATCGAGTAGTCCTGTGTCAGGAGCGGAGATCTTAGGTGGTGAGAAAGGCCCGGGAAGTTGGGGCAGCAGGCAACAGGGACCAGCGGTCAGCTTATACCCACGCTCTCTGCACTCCAAGTGTTTAAGTACAGGAGCTGATCATGGGCCTCGCTTTCTTCCCCACCTAAAATCTGGTCTTCGAGTAACATTGGGAAGCAGAAGTGTCCTTAACTTCAGTGAGAAACATCCTAACACAGTGTTTAAAATCATGGATTTTGGAATCCAATGTATTTCGTTCAGATTTCTAGCTTTGCTAACTTGCCAGCTGGGTTTGACTTAACCTCTCTGAGCCTGTTTCCTCAATTATAATGGTATGTGTGGTAGGGAAGGGTAGTGGTGGTGGTGGTTACATTATGTGACTTATTCAGGAACTTGATTTCAGTGATTCCTTCCTTAATTAAAGCATAGGGAAGAATAAGGAAAATACCCTGGAGAAACCCATGTTGAGCTGGGATCAGACAGAAGAGCCTTGTTACCTAAACCTGTCCCAGAGGGAGGGAAAAAAGGAACGAGTCTGAGATCTGCCTCGTCGGCCAGGCTTTACTGCTGTCTACAGCAGCCTGGGGACAGGGTGGGAAGCTGTCAGGTAAGAGTGCTCTTTACACTGAGTTCCCCTTACACCTGGTGAAGCTGTTGCCAACCTCACACTGAGATACCTTGGCAGTCAAATCAGGTCCCCTTGGTTCAATTTTATCCCATGCCCCTCGATGTATTTAAGTTGGATTGTTCTAGGACAGAGGCATTCAGAAGAGAATTCAGATATACATAAGACAGGGCTCTTAATAGCTACCATTTGTGGAGCGCCCTGGAGCATTTTTGTTTCAGACCCTGTGCTTGCAGTTCAGTGGGGGCAACAAGCAAGCAATTAGCATTACAGGTGCACAGAGGAGAAACACCTGACAAGCTCAGTAGGCTTCCTGCAGGAAGTAATATATTTAAGCTGATATGCTTGAAAGATAACCAGGGGTTGGGGAGTAGTAAAAGGCATGAATTTCTCCTCTGACTTCTCTCCCAGTTCCAAAACAAACACTCTGTTCCTCCATGTTTAAGGCTTTTGTTAATCACTCCTGGGAAGGGACTGTCAGCCAGGCAATGGACCTCAAGAAGAAGAAAGCCTTTTGGTTAGCCACGAATCTTTGAAAGTCATTTTGGTTTTTGGCCCAGGTTCATCCTGGGGTGCAGGTGGATTGGACTTGGTCGTTTGCAGTCCCTCTTCCTCAGAAGACTGGCCTCTGGAGCTGCCCTGCCACCCTACTTGGAAGAGCTGCTGGACTCAATTAATTCAGAACTCAACCCCAGATATATTCTGGCTGCCTGGATTTCTCCGCCTCTTCCACACATATCCCACTGATCTCCTAGGTTCTGCTCCCACCACTAGCCACTCTCCCCTCTCCGAACTGAGGCCCCCCCCCCCTCCCCATCCTCTTGTCCTCTGACCCTGGTCCCTAGCCATAGGTGAAAAGGACCCCTCTCTAACTTGTACTAAGCCCTCTCTGGACTATAGGCTATTCTGTAGTCACTTTGCATTCACCTGTTTGCTTCAAAATCTAAGCTACATCTGGGCTAGGTTTTTACTATCTTGAGTATATAGCAATATAGGGTATTGGTTGAGAATGAGAGCTGTACATACCTGTCTTTGAATCCTAGATCTGTTTGCTATGTGACCTTGGGCAAATGACAAACTGCCTGAAGCTCATCTTTATATATGTGGGGTAACATTACCTACCTTGTCAGGATTACATGAAGTGTGTTAAAAAGGACTTAACAGAGTGACTTGCATAGCAAGGGCCCAGTCATCAATGGCTTCTAGTGGTGCCAGCCCTCTCTCTTTCAAAGCCTTTACCTTTCTTTCCTATCTAACTTCCTGACTTAAGGTCCTGCTTCTAGTGTCAGGGCAAGTATAGTTGTCGGCTCATCAGCAAAGCAGAGGGAGGAGATTAACTTTACTGCTTATGTTATCAGTCTCTATCCCTTCATAGTGAACAGTTAGGGAATGTTCTTCCAAAATTTTTTTAATATTAAAAATATGTGAAC